TACACCCTTTTATGGCAACTGTATTCCCTGATGGCAGTGGTTTCTCATAGTAGGATACTGTGACCTGCCACACTGCGGAAACAGTTATGTTGCTCAAACCATTACCAAAGAACTCATTTAGTGGCCTAGACCTCCAAATCCCCCAGATATTGGTGTAATCAAGCACCTGTGGCACATGCTGGAACAAGGTCGTTCCGGGACGGCTCCACCTAGCAGCTCGCAGACTGTAAGGATTTGCTGCTGAAGTCTAGGTGCTCGATACCACAGGGTCCATTCTTCTGCAGGTCGGAGTAGTTTTGGTGCGGGTTAGGAGCTGTAATCTGAAGTACTGTCCGCCATCTCCCCCACATTTTAAAAATAAAAATTCTCACCAAGTCTGTAAGGAGGTCCAGTCTGGTGGAGTTCTGGGAGACGCACGTAAATCAAGTCATCAATACCGAGGAGCTGAATTAGTCAGCTGAAAAGCGTGTGGTGAGTCACGGTAAAAAAAAGCACTTTATAAATTCAATGATCGTTCATGTGTTCTTAATCAAGGCCTTTTATGAGGGAGGGGCAGCTGGGTAGGTGGAGGGGGGGCTGATACCAGGCTCATCAGGCAGAGTGGGGGGGGGATCTTGTTGCCACAGACAGTGAACAAGTCCCTGTAATTAGCAATTAGCACTGGCAAGACCTAATTAGCATTGTTGACCATCTTCCCCCCCCCCATAGGAGACAATTAGTAGCATAGCACGGCAGCTGGGCAGCCGTCAATCACCAGTCGCACCGCGTGAGCGCCGTTGGCATGGCTACAGTTTCAGGTAACCATGGCAACCTCGCTCTCGTCCGCCATCTCTGTGGAGACTGTGCCACTCTTCGTCATTTTCTCTCCATCATCCCCCCTCAGCCTGAACTGCAGCACACCAATGTCAGGAGAGGGGGATTCTAGTGCATCAGAGCGACAAACACACACAAATTTATCGATTTGGCATCAATGGAATCAAAACTGACTGAACCAGCCAAATACATGGTCATCTCAATGTTACTGGGATGCTCATCCAATGTTCTAACACTGCAAGCTACATTTCAGTAACATTGTGAGAACATTTTGAGCTAGCTGGGATTTGAGTGGCTCTTACTGCTATGAAGACATTCCCTGACACACTCTTATAATGCAATAAAAAGACATTCTGAAGACATTCTCTCATAATGCAATAAAAGGAAAAAAAAAATATGTAGAACAATACGCACAGTCATTTTGGACCATTTGGCTTGATGGAGTAAAACAGGGGTGTCCAATCTTATCCGTAAAGGGCCGGTGTGGGTGTAGGTTTTTGTCCTAGCCAGCAGTGCTACTGCACCTGATTCCACTAATGAACTAATCAGGAGTTTCAATCAGGACCTTGGTGGGTAGAATCAGGTGTGTTAGTGTTGAGCTCTAACAAAAACCAGCACCCACACCGGCCCTTTCTGGATAAGATTGGACACCCCTGGAGTAAAATCATCCTAACAAGAACAATACAATTAATACAAAATTCGAAGATTGAAAATCAACTGCTACCTTAAAGGCAGCCTATCAATGACCAGAAAGCCGCACCTGGTGGATGCGTTGCCATTTGCTGGGGTAGGAGGTAAACATGATCTTCCCCAGAGCCGTAAAAATCATGGAAACCCCACTCCTATTCCTGGAGATCATGGTCCACTTCATTTTCACACCAAACCCTGACACTGCACGCCTTATTCAAGAGCTAGAGCAGGGCTTTCCAACCCTGTTCCTGGAGATCTACCATCCTGCAGGTATACCCTCCAACTCTAACAAAGCACATCTCACTCAACAGCTAGGGCAGGGCTGCCCAACCAGTTTCCTGGAGAACTACCTACCTGAAGGTTTCCACTCCAACTCTAACAAAGTACCCCTAAATCAACAGACAGAGTCATCTGCATTGGCCAGAGTTATTTGAGAGGTGTGTCAAATTTGGGTCGTTATGAAAGGGCAGTAGCGCTCCTGGAACAGGGCTCCTTTTCACCTCCCGGTGGCACCTTACGTTTCTCCGTTTTTGATGCTGCTGACACTTTGACGCTTTGATACCCACAAATACCCTCAATAAAATCTATTTTAAGGCAAATTATATGACTGCAGGTGATGTAAACTAGAAAAAAAAAAAACATTCCAGGAGGGGGTCGCTACCCCCTTGTTGAGACCCACTGCATTAGATGCACCACAAACGAATTACATTTCATATCTAACCACGACAGACATATGTGATGTTCAGTGACGAATATCAAAAGGGACTATCCGAGAGAAGCTGCTCTCGGTGGGAAGCCTGAGCGCTAACACCGCGGTCATCTTTGAGGCTTCCCAGTTAGCGCGGTTTGAGACCTTGCACTCAAGTGGGCTCTATATGTCGCCCACGGGTTTGGAGTTTAAACTACGAATGGACACACTTGAAACTACAGTCAAACATCAGTAATGTATCAGTAATTACAACTTATTGTTTTGCGCTTTTCCATCCGCCGCTGTTGTTTGAAAAGTTTGTGCATATCGATAAGATGGAAGATGGATTTTCACTGCATACCTGTGCAAATGGCAACTTCCTTGTTCTAGAAAGAGATTCCCATTTCAAACGTCATTAGTGTAGACACTTGTCACTCAAACATGTCTGACCAATGGGGAAGCATACGCCCACTGTGGGATGTTTGTGTCAAAATGATTCAATCAAAAAAAAAAAAAAAAAAAAAAAAGACTCCAAAACTTTTTTCCCTTCAATCAAAGAAAAAAAGTGTTTAAATGCAAAATTAAAATTGAGACCCAAAAAATTCATTTGAACAATTTTTCTTTGATTGAAAACATTTTTTGATTGAAGTGATATTCCTTGGGATTGAATAATAAAGACACAAATTCCTACCCATAATATGGAACAAAAAAAAAGTTGCTTCAAACAAAAAAAATATTTTCAATCAAATAATAACTCACTTCAATCAAAAAAACCTTGTCAAAGAAAAACAGTGTTCAAATGCAATTTTTTGGGTCTTTATTTTTGCATTCAAACACTTTTTCTTTTATTGAAAGTGTTTTTTTTTTAATTGAAGTTTTTTTTTTGACTGAAAACATGTTTTTTGGTTGAAGCAACTTTTTTTTGATTGAATAATAAAGAAACAAATGCACCTTCATATTGTTTCCCATTCTCGGGCAGAGAGCCAATTGTTGACCAGTGACAGTGCAAATGATGCTTTTTTTCCCTTTCATGTCGTGAGCCACGTAATTTTCCTGATACCGAAGCATTGTTTATTTCTTGGTTGGCTTTATGTAAGCTATTGAACACACTCAAAAGAACAAGTCAAGCATCATTGTACATGTCAGAAAAAACGCAAATGTCCGTCATTACTGAAGTGCTCAGCGCGTCCACGTGAAGCACGGTTTCTATAATCCCACTCGTATCTCACTGGACAAAGCAATAAAAATTGATTCTTCAATTTGCAGTAAATACAATACATATCTCACCGGTGCGTTTTTTAATGGAGTTCAGTATATATAGTGGACTAATATTACACACCGGTGTAAACACCTGACAGCATATATTTTCTGCCATTGTTGACATCATCTGGCAGTGAGATTTCATTCAAATAGAGGGAGTGGCCAGTCAAACCGCGATGCGCCACGCCAACACTGTCTTGAGAAATGGACTGAACAGCAAAATGAGCCGTTTTTCGAACTAGGTTTTCTAATAGTTATGAATGTTAATTTTCACTCAGTTTTTTGTCGATGCTTTATGAGACTCTCAACTTTGATATTATACGCGAATTTTCACTATGTCAAGACAAGTTTCCAGAGCCTTTAAGAGTCCCTGGATAGAGACTCTTGAGGAAAGTGACCCAGTGATGCCCTCTGCTGGTGGATACAAGAGGTACAAAAAGTGAAAGGAGTAGCCCAGTGGATGGCTGCTTGATTGGTAACTGTATGGTTGGTGGTTCAATTCTGACTTGAATCTAGAGATCCGAAGTCAGGGAAGACCCCAAACCCAAAACCTGTTTTACCTTCATTTTGTCTCTATTGCTGCCTACTTGGAACTGTTCCATCTGGCATTTCTTACAGGTGTAGCAGCCCAGATTAACAGATTAATCAGGCCTATGGCAAAATATGTCCCAGGGTATAAAATGTGACTGAATGTAGGTGGTATAATCTGGACTAGCCCACTTTAACCCTGACTGTACTCTGGGCTGGGGGTATACTTTGGCCTGTTACACTGGGCATCCTTGAAGTCATTCTAGGGGGTGACCAACAGCGGCTGCTGCACGCAATTAAGAAGCTTCAGGGTGGAGCAACAATACAAGCAGGGCTCTGTGAATGTATGCCTGAGAGGAACGCTTCGCCTGAATTTCATCGGGAAAACGCCTGACCTGACTGAGCTGTGCGTGTCACATTCAAGGTCGGCAAATCCAGGCCTACAAAAGAAAACGGGCGAGCTGTAACGGAAGTTTGTCAGATCAGCAACACGAAATCAAAAACATGCCACATTCTCGCTAAATTACGCGCCACGACACTTTGAAGTCGATACATTCTCACCGGAACCAAACTCAAAAAAAAAAAAAAAAAAAAAAAAAAAAAAAATCACACGGCCTGTAACAAACCCAGAGACGAACCAAATGAGTTTTCAATTATGTGTTGCTGGCCCTTTGAAAAAGGTAGAGACACTTGTTACGGCTTGGCTGTTTTCTTCGGTAGGCCTGAAATCTGCGATTTCAATTTAGATCTGTAGTGTAGAAATCCATCCTTCCATCATCTAAACCGCTTCGTCCTCACTAAGAGAGCCTGTGCCAGGTAATTACGGGTGAAAAGCAGCGACACACACTGGACAGCATGCCAATCCATCGTAGGCCTCACAAACCTTTCATTCACTCACTCATAGCCATGGGCAATTTAGAGTCTCCAATTAGCCAGACAGGCATGTCTTTGGACTTTGAGAGGAAACTGCAGTACCGGAAGAAAACCAATGCTAATGCAACATGCAAACTCCACCCTAAAAGGCCCCAGGCCGGTTTCAAACCCACAGCCTTCTTGTTGTAAGGCGGTAGTGCTAACCACTGCACCACCAAGCCACCACTAGGGTGTAGAAATGTCAAACAAAAAGAAAATGAATAACCACCCGTAACTCAATGTTCGACATAGACGTAACATAAAACTGAATGTGCTTTTACTCGTAAAAATGTACGTCTCCCCCCCCAGCACCCTTTCTGCCTAACTCAGCAGACAGACAGGCAAATACCAAAAGGCACCAGTGCAGGACCTGAGTAGTAAGTTTGCAAAGTTGCATTAAGATTATGCGAACGGTTTTGGAGTTTGATCACATCCGGACCGACGGACAGACAGGCACATACCAAAAGGCAACACTTCAGGACCAGAGTAGTAAGTATGCAAAGTTTCATTAGGATCATGCAAACGGTTTCGGAGTTACGCTTTGGAGACAAAGTTGAAACGCCGACCCGCGAACAGGAAGGGGAACAGAGCCTAAAACAATATGTCTCCCCTCTCTCTCCGGGGGGACATAATCAACTCACGAAAGACAAAAGTAAGACAATTACATTCTGAACTTCTGGAGCATCTGACAAGTACCAAGGATAGTTCCCAAAGAAACTCCATACAGAGGCTCGTATCATTTTCAGTGAAGCGCGTGATCAATGACAAACAAGGCCTTGCTTTCTGTAGAAGCACATGATCAATTTATCTGAAGTCCGATTGCTGATATGCAGAAGAGGATCCCCCTGAACTCATGGGATGTCAGTTGGTCAATGCAAAGTATTGTTATTAAAGGTTTTGAATTTTACACTGAGAAGTTTCTGAAACGGTGAAGTTTTCCCGTTCAACAAACACAGTCAAACTTGAATAGGTGCACTACCTACCCATTCTCTCTTCACTATTGAATATTGCAAAACATTATACGGTGCATAACAAACATTTTTCTGAGCAAACGTGGGTGTCACGTGATCTGTAATTATTTAGATGCTGTAAATTATTTTTAATAACTTGTTAAGAGTGTACAGCCTGTTCAGTGAGGCCTTTAGTAATGAATCTTTTTCCAATACGAGTGATTCGAAAGCTTCAGTGTTTCAGTAAACCTCACAATGTCATCACTACATGACACGTCAAGTCAAATACCAATGTATATGTCTGGAGATACTGTATGCCAGGGGATGTTTAAGTACCATCATTTTGACATATAAAAGGCAGCTTTACCACCTGAGGCCCTGGGTTGAAAGGAAAAGGCAAAAACCGGCAGCCATTTTTCAAATTTTCAAAACAGTTTATTTTTTTTCTTTCAAATCGAAGCCCCCACTTACTGCTTTCACTCACACACCAGAGTGTGCTACACTTTAATACATAACCCCCCCTCCCAGCAAACTTCTGGCACAAAGTCGATGTTCCCACCCACACCCCATGAAAAAGACGGGCGCTACGTCCCCACCTGAGTCGTTTCAGAAATTTCAAAATGGCAGGGCCAAAGGAGAAGGAGTTTCTTCCCGGCTGGTGGTGAGGAAAATAAAAAATAAAGACCAAAAAAGAAAAGAAAAAAAAACAAGCCAGCTTTGCTTCCTGCGGAGCCAAGAGGCTGTGGAGGAAATTCCAGATCGACGTTGAAGTTAGCCCCGTTAGCTTGTGATGCGCCTGCCACATTGCCATGAAAACTACAACACCACAGCCACACTCGCAGACCTTCAGCCACCAACCTCCCCTACCCCCTCCTGCCAGCCTGTTGAGCACAGACCACCATGCCGACATAAAAAAAAAAGCTTCCCCACCTAAAAAAGACTAACAGGACATGGCTGGGAAGGGTACCTGGTGTCCCCACAGAGTCCAGTTGCCAATCGAGGGCAGGTGCTCAGGAGGAGGAAGGAGTGTTTTCAAAATGAACAAAAAAAAAAAAGGACCCCGCTTCGCCTCGCGTGAGCTCATGGAACGCGTAAAAAACTCCCACGATACCCTTTTTGTCCAAAAGAAAGACAGTTCATTTAAAACCAAGCGCGAAATGAAAACACAGAGTAAGAAAGTTTATATTACAACGCGGCGACATAAATCTGGTCAAAATGTACATGCGACATGTCCAAAGAAGAAGACCAGTTCTTGGCCCTCATCCGACGTGGCTCCTCTGCCCTCGTCAGCCTCAACGTAATTGAGCCGCCCACAGATGGGCGACCGCAACGGGAGAACTGAGAGCGGGATCCCAGAGTATACAGCACCAGTGTTCACTCCCTGGGGCTAAAGGTCAGTCTGAGTCTGAGAGGACGATCACTTCGTCCGGGTCGCACTGGGTGGACACGTTGACCTGAAACGGGAGGGCGGTACACTTGTTCATAAAGCTGCTAAATCATGTACTACAGCTGAAGTGGCTAAATAGAGTCCCAACAACTCAAGAATAGGAGCCATTTTGTTTTGCACAAAGAGCCATTTCGCACAAGGGAAATCAGAATTTTTTCATTCCTGTCTCGGAAGAAAAACGAACCAATTTCTGGAGAAAGAAGATAAATCAGCTAGCAGTGGTTTCAACAAGCGTAAGAGGGGAAAATGTTTGGACGTGAGAAAAGAGAAAATTGAAAAAAATACCCAATTGTTCAGAGATGGTGGCTGATGACGTGATGGAAACAAAATGGCTCCACGTCCAGATTTTCTGGAACCCTCATGTCGCAACTCTCTACCTAACCCCATCCACAGCAAATAGGCATGCAGTTATAATTTACAAGATAGTGGCAGACTCTGCCAAGGCATGCATACTTACTCTTATACACACACGTACTAACTGGTGCACGAACGAGCACTCATGCAATCACGCACACACACACTTATTTATTTATTTATTTGTTTGTTTTTATTTCGGCATGATTGTATAGTCGTTTCATGACAATTTCAACACAACATGTATCATGACCGAAAGGGTCGCGGGAGAAGTGAGATCGCTTGTCAAAGTCCGCCCCCCAACTCCCAGAAAAACAGTTTGATTATGGTTAAGATATCATAAAGATTTATAAATCACAACAGAGCTGAGTGTCCATTTACACTACGATTTAAGCGTCACAACATAAGATCATAGAGATTTATGAACATCATGAAGAATTTTAATCACAATATAGCTGAGTGTCTATAAACAACCCCTATTGTTTATGCCCGTTATGGTTCCGTTTAATTTATCCAATGCCATTTTGTTGGATAAGGTTATAGTTATTCAAACATGCACATTTCAAAAGATACTTAAAGTCCTTCAGATTGTCTGCCATTCTAATATTGTCTTCAAGTATGTTCCATGCACTGACTCCAGCCACAGATAAGGAGTGCTCACTCCGAGTCGATTTGACCCTTCTCATTTGCAACAACATTCTGCCTCTTAGGTCATGAATACATTCACGCTGAAGAAATAGGCATTGTATATTTCTAGGCAATTCTTTGTGGTATCCTAAATATACAATTTGCAAGGAGTTGAATTTTATTATATCCTGCAATTTAAGAAACTTTGCCTTAATAAACAAATCGTTTGTATGAGTTCCATAAGGAACGTTATGAATAATTCTAAGGGCCTTTTTTTGGAGTTTAAACAATGATTCTATTGTATTTTTATAAGTGTGTCCCCATACTTCAGCGCAGTAGTGTAAGTGGGGTGCTATGAGTGCTGAATAGATTATTTTAAGAGACTTGTGTTTTAATAATTTCTGCATTTTCCAAAGAATAGACACGCTTTTAGCTAACTTTCTTTGAACCAAGTTTACATGTGGTTTCCAGCTTAAGAGATTATCTAACATAACTCCCATGACTTTATATTCGTTTACCCTTTCAATGCTGGTACCATTTACCTTTATGTCGTCCTTTGGGCCTTTTTTCCCAAATATCATAAATTTGGTCTTTGTAAGATTTTGTGATAATTTGTTTACATTAAACCACGTGTGAAGTTTAGACATTTCTTTATTAGCCAATTTTACCAATTGTTTGAGATCGACACCTGAGCAAAAATAATCGTGTAGTCTCTGCGAATAAAATTAGTTTTAGGATATCGGACACCTTAACAATGTCATTTATGTAAATTATGAACAACTTGGGACCTATGACCGAGCCCTGAGGAATTCCACAGGTAATGTCCAAGCAATTCGATTTGCTATTGCCCATCTGCACAAATTGTGTCCTACTTGTTAAGTAATTTTTGATCCATTTTAATGCGGTCTCTCTTATTCCATATTTGTAAAGTTTTTCAATCAATATATCATGATTTATAGTGTCGAATGCTTTCTTCAGATCAATAAATATGCCTATAGAATATAAGTTTGAATCTAGTGAATCTTTAATCATTTCAATAAATTCTGTTAGGGCTAGTGCTGTCGAATGCTTTTTCCTGAACCCATACTGGCTGTCACACAGTAGTTTGTGTTTATCAATGTACTTGTCCAATCTGTCATTGAAAAGCTTTTCTAGGACCTTTGAGCATTGAGGTAAAATCGAGACAGGACGATAGTTTGAGAAATCATATTTATCCCCACTTTTGTAGAGAGGATAACTTTCGCTATCTTCATTTTATCTGGAAACACTCCGTGGGAGAAGGATAGATTGCATATATCGTAAGTGGAGTTACAATTCGTTAGTTAGTGTTTTCAGTAATTTCATATCTAATTGGTTTACATCAACAGATGTCTTAGCTGTACAATTTTTCAGAATTGATCTGATTTCAGATTCGGTAACAGGAGTTACAAACACAGTTGCCCTCACCTTGTTCTTCTTCGGGGGCGGGGTGCACTCAAAGCTGCTGATAGGTTCCTGGGGTGGAGTCTCAGGCCGTGTGGAGTCGGCCTGCAGGGGGCTGCTACAGACCACGCCCATATCCAGGGGAATATCGCTGTCACTGCAGGGAGGCCAGAGGACAACCACGGCTCACGTTCCTCTCAATCACTGACGACCACCACTCTCATACAGACCTGTCGTCGCTTCCATACCCCCCTCAGTGCGCTAATGACCACGGAGCCGAGCACTTCTTCCTTATCACTATTCAAATGGATCGCAACATGAAGCCTGTGGCATTTCGCTACGATTGTACCTCATTTCCTTTCCAATCACTGTGCTCATGACC